TCTGCGACTTGTTCACGTGATAGACATTTCAATTATTCGATCGTATCCTAAGAGATATTCATCACCATTACAACAGATGTCTCTACTACCTTATAAATTACAGATAGAGATCGTACCTACTGATAAGAATCAGCATTGTGTCAATTGTGTGCAACTTTTTGTTATATAATTCCTATACATATAAATAAACCTATCTATTATATCTATTACTGTTTTTTGTATCGTTACCAAGTGAATCTTCACGACGCGACGGAATGTAATCAATATATGTATTGGTTGCCTAACTCGAGGGAATTTTACTTGCAGTTCACTGAACGTAAGTGCTGCAGAAATAAACATTTAATTTATTGTTTATCAACAGTGCATGTTCATTACTATAACTCTCGCCAGGAAAGATTGCCGGCCACAGAACACTTGATCCCGATCTACAATCTCTGTTTTTCGTAAGGTGCTAGAGACTTCCGGGATAGTATCGTGTCAATGTTGAACGAAAAGACTTTTTGTTCAACATTAGCACGATCCTATTCCAGAAGTCGCTCGCATCTTAATAAAAACAAAGATTGTAAATCGACACAAAGTGTGCTGTGACCGGCAATCTTTCCTGGCGAGAGTTATACGCGAAAATATGGAAAGTTTATGGACGAATCCATGCAGGAGATATAATGGTGCATACAAATTTTGGGAGGAAAACCTTCCACTATTTTGCTGTGCTGTGGGTGGTTATATACGAGATGAAACAGACAGAACTCTAAAAGCGTTACTGCTAAATAACTTATACAGTAAATACCTACTATATTACGTGAAGCGATTATGCGTGAAGTGTAACTTTGGGTAGGTATCCACATTTAGATTTGAAAAATTTAGGTTTTTAGGACATCTGGGATAATAATTCACTAGTCTCTAAGGAGGGGTAAAATAAGCGCACTTTGAAAAAAGCGTAAAAAGGGCATAGAAAATTATATGACAAAGAGAGTTTTGAGTTTCGTAATGTTCCACCTCAATATACTAGAATTGAACCACGTGCCACAAACTCGATGAATAATAAAGCAAAAATTCGATAAAAAACCAGGACTTTAATTCCGATAGAACGCCAAGTGAAAAAGTTAAAGCTTGAACTCCGTTTACGGTTAATGAACACATTCTTACATATTCACCGGATTGTAATAGCGTAAAATTTATTTCGTCGTGCATTCATCCGTCCATTTTAATCTCTTTCAATTGATAAAAGGAAATTTATTGTAATCCAATGGAACTTTACGAATTGTGCCAAGCAAATTGGGGTATTGTGCAATATTTCGAGCTTTTGAGATGTCGCTCTTTATAGGTACTTTTCACCAACTGGAAAGTTGTCAAATTAAATTCGGCGATAAATTGCTCACTCTTGTTCGCGAACGAAATTTCAGGTTCGCCCTTTTATCATTTTGTTTACTGCTGTGCGGATTTACAATAATTCGACTAGATTAATCGGCATGGGAGACTGGCGTTCGACAAGTATTGCAGAGGGTTGTTTAAACGAAAGCCGCTCGAGTAAAATAGCTATTGCAAATACATTTTGGGCTTCTCGACAAACTCTTCTACACTTCTACTGAACGAACAGAAACTGAGAAACTATTCAAAAAACGATGTTAATAACGTATCCTATCGCACACAAAGTGCAAAACTAAAATACCACAAGGAGGTTCAGGAAGTGCTACCATTAGTTACATGACGTTATTCTTATTGGGACTCCCAGTTACGATTAATGACTAAAAATGGTTATAGGGTACCTTAATTAAGTGTTTAAAAAAAATTTCGTGCGTAGTTATTCCTGAGTGCCAACTACCAACACTTTCTAAGAGGTTCTGTTAACACTTTTCGACGATGTGTTGCAGATATTTTAATAAACATTAAACAAATTAGAAAATGTTGATGTAAAACCATGCATGTGTTTGTAACCGTACCATAACAGCAGTAAGTAGTTCTCTACATGTTTTCCATAATTTGTGTGTAAATTATTTACAGATGAGCAGCATTTCATCCCTGCATCATAATAAATTAAAGCATTGACCAATTTAAAACATTACATGGTACATTTTAACCATGATTTTAACTCATTTTAGAGAATTATTTTACAAGACGGTTGTTGCTAAATGGTGATTTATATTGATACCAAAAAGGTGGTCGATGCTAATGGGCGGTTGATATAGAAAAGGTGGTCAATACGAAAAGGCGGTTGATACCGAAAAAGGGATCCTAGCCAGACGCAAAACTTCTTATAATTAAGAATTTTGAAATGTAAATTAATGGTTGTTCATGAACATAAAAATAAAACTCTATACTGGATCTTAAAGTTAAATTCAAATTGATACATAATTGATTAATTAAAAGAAATTACAAGAATTTATTCTGACACATCATGCGAACACAGTCAAATACAAAACAAAACCTGTAAGAAAAATTTAAGGCTAACAGTACCTTTTTGAAAACATACACCCCCTTTGCAAAACGATCAAATAAAAAAAACAACTCAAGAGATCTCAAAAAGTTCAGTTAACTAATATCCATATCAACTGGTCAAGACAGACACGTGGAAACCGATGAACGGCGAATCAATACTTTACAAACCTGACAGCGTTTAGACCCCACATTTATTCAACACCTAACTTTGGTAATCCATAACTGGTTTGATGAGGCTAACAAATTATTGTAATGGCTGTTCGGGTGATACAGTTTAATTACACAACACACAATAAACTTCAGGCACAAGATCTTCTTTATTTGGTGAAACTACCCCTAAAATTTAGCGCAACAGTGACTTACGCTTTTACAATCGACCCGAAAACAGCCTTCATTGATAAATTCTATATCGTTGTTCCCCAGCTATACTCGAAACTCCGCCCCGTCGCCCGAATTGACAAGCACGTGCGTTGCTTATCTCGCACGTGGTATTGTTTATCACAGAACCAATTAATTTTTGTTGGATGAGACACCTGACCAGATTAAACTTTCCACATTATAATTACATTCCGATTACACGTTTCTTTACTTATTCGTTTTAAACAAAAAATAGGATTAAATATAGTATATTAAGTATGGAGAACGGTAAGGGATTTTTACCGTTCGAAGACAATTGTTTGGAGGAGGAGCGAAGCGACGACTCCAATTATTGTCTGAGAACGGTAACCCTTAACGTTCGACGTGCTTATACAATTTTTTGCGCGATCGAAATTAAAATTATGTAACCAATATAAATATGCACTAAGAAATTAACGAGCAGAATAAATCGAAATGATCGAAGTGGTATGGTGTACATCACTAGGTAACCAGTTTATATGTCAAAATTGAAATTAATAATTTCATAAAATTGTACATGTGTCTGATGTAGGTTGCTAGCTTTGCACTTCCTTTATGACTTTATGAGCGTCTTTCTATAGGAAACAACAGCACAAATTGTACGTTTAATGTACCTAACAATAATTAAAGATTAAATGTAATGTAAGACTGTTGATTTTTAAAAAGGCGTCGGTAAGTATTTTTTTTCACTACTAGCGTCTGATGACATGATTATTAACCTTTTTTCCACTTGTAAAGTAGGTTTTCTCGGCATTTGTTCAAAGTGGTTAATAATTTTTTATTATTAACTAGTAGTCAATAATGAGAACTGTCACGCTGTCACTTTTAGAAAACACAACCCGAAATTTCGCTCAATGAACGTTTAGACAAGTTCTCTAAAACGAATAATTGCCACCATTCGCAATTTCCAGAGAAATTACATACCTAAAATTATCACATTTTGAAAAAATTCGAACGAAATTACTCTTTGAAAAATCTCAATGACAGAACAAAATACGGCCTGTTTGACTTGTACTTCCACGTACTTGATTGACATGTTAAATTAAGAAACAAACAATTCTGTCCAACCGTTAACTCTCTTATCAATATAATATGTTAATTTAGAGGATTTCAAGTGCTAGTAGTGAAAAAAATAGTATATATACCACGGTAGAGAAGTCTATTATTGCCTTCGCACCTTACACCCCTCGGCGCAAGCGCCTCGAGATGTAATCTTGGTGCTCAGGCAATAATAGTGGACTTCTCTACCTTGATATATAATGTACTATTGCTGTTCTGTTTTTAGATCGGTAAGTAATTTTGGCGTCGTCGTAATCATAGCAACTGGTAAATTCTACGTACTGTCATGGAAACACACATGGTAAATAGCCAGAAATGACCGATCGCGCAAAAAATTAAATAATTACTAACTTTACAATAAATAACTAAATACAGGAAGTTTCGAATGCTGTTTCCAATACTTAAACCGAAATTATCTTAACAACATGTATTTTTCTTCATTACACACGACACCCCCTGTATCATACACAACAATATGCACGTTAAACCCAGCATATTTCCAATTACGGAACCTATTACCAAATTGTGCACCTATAAGTACCAATTAGAGCAAGTATAATATTATACGAAAAAACCAATTAAGCTCAAATTTCATTCAAAATTTACTACAATGAAAGACTACGAATGTACAAAATACAATAGATTCAGGTATTTACCGACAATAATAATGAAGATATTTTCACTTGTTGGACACTAACCGGAGCTGTGTTATTCAGTAAAAATTGGCCACGTCACTAATTATTAGAGCACGAAGTTTTTGTGTTTGTTTCAGAAGTTTTTCGTTAGTATGTAAAATAGTATCTGATATCAGGTGGGTGATCGATCTTTAGTGACAATTCAAACACCGTTTCATTAAAGTTGATAATTATGAAGATAATTGGCATTCTTTCTCGTGAAAGTGCATCCTACATTTTCGCATCGGAAAGGAGCAATTCAGATAACTGTGTAATCTTCCGTTTCCGCCTTAATGAACGGAAAACAAAACAACTGGAAAGTCTTAATTGATATTAAAATTCACAACTTCCACATTCCAGTAAACGAGTCTTCAATCTCTCGAATTATATTTTTTTTGTCTTACATGCACACGCAATTACAAACTAACGACTTACTTGCAGTTGTGACAGTTTAGATGCCATTGTGTTGAGCTTGGTTCTTCTTTACAGCAGCAATATCACAGCATATTATTCCCTTTTCACTGAAAGAAGAAGACATAATTAACATCATAACTCAGAAGACCTATTTTTGTATCGCCCAGTTATATTTAGATTTTGTATTTTCTGCGAGTGTAATGTGTGTGCTTTCAAATTGTTTACATCTACTCACCGAAAAAGGATCCGATTTACGCGATTGATAATTGAAAACATTGGCACATTTACAACAAACTTTCGGACGTATTTGAAAGATATGATCTAACCGTTTAACCGGCCTAATAGGAAACGGACCACTTATAAATGTTTATTTTCCGCTTTTAACGGAAAAACATGGTAATTGTCGTGAAATACGCCGATAACTAAAAAGGTATGGTTAGTAGTTTGTTATATGGGACAGTAGGGTGAGTTTTGTAGGACAGGGTGAACGACATCGACGATGGCACGAATTGTCACGATATGGGGTAATAAACATTGTAACTATCATGCGTGGTGGGAAATCAATTTCTTTTTGTCTTATTCGGGAATATCTAACAATTAAATGAATTACAAGGTTTCCAATTACCATCACTTTCATTTGTAGCTATAGGTCAGTTCGCTTTCCTATAATAGGCCAAATAGAAGTTAATTCATAGGAGATTAATTAAAATATACGTAGACTAATGATTCCATTGTAAGGATGGAACTTAATTATGAGCTGAGTGAGAAGCAGATTTGCCAGTCAGATACTATTATGAATAAAATAACATGCGCGATTACCGATTATGGTTCGAGTAATTATTGTGAGACGCCGTCAATTTGACCAAGTCATTATTATCTAAATAAAAATAATTACAGTGAATCCAGGTTTTTAACCCACTAAAACAATGAAGGGAACTAAGGTTCATGCGTTCATGTGACAAGTATCCAAGTAGAATCTGTTCTATCCTATTACGTAATCAAATCCGCCGGATACATTTACCGAGGTGTATGCGTTGAAGGAATCCAGCAAAAGAGACAAGACGTGCAAAAATGTCTTCGTGTTGTGCCCGTAAAAGTCTAGTAAATTATATATTGTGGATATCGATTAAGCCAATCAATCATTTTCAGATTCAAGTTACTTCGAAAACACGCCATTCTTATAGAGCATCCACACTTTTTGTACGTCTACTTTATCAAAATTTTATAATGCTTTGACATGAAAATCACATTTGAAAACGCTTTGTACATAGCTCACTTTTGCTTGAAATGACTTTTACCGTACTTCTTGCATGCCAGTAGGCAATATATTCACTTAATCAATACCGAGAAGTTAATCCATTAAGTGTCCTAAAAATGATTGGACATAGTAAAGCTTTGAACTGGTTAATTGCATGTGCATACGATTCAATTTTGGCACATTCATATTAGGTTCAGTGGTCGCGAAATAAATATAATTTTAAGTCTCGTTTTAAGCTTAACTTCACAATTGACAGGGTAGCGTCAAATGAAAATCGTTAGTCGAGGACGAAATAAGGGGAGAAATAAAAGTGCAGTGCGATATACGTCGTTTCGCTACTTAAAGGAATAGATTATTCTAAATTTTTGCTGGAAATAAAAATGGTAACAAGAAGTGAAAGAATCAAAATGTAAATATACAAGAATCTAGATCTTTAAAATGAAGAACTAAAGGTTATTAACGAGCTCCCAGCGGGTTCATAATTTTGCGGTGCCTGTCCTTTAAAACGATATCTCGAAAACGATTGGAACAATTACGATGAAATTTTGCAGGTGGGTTCTTTATCAAATTTGTCGATCGGAGTATGGAAATTGGCAATGTAAGTCAAAAACTAAGGAAAGCCCTTTTTCAATTTTTTCCGATTTTCCAAATCTTTTTCTTCAAATTCTACCGATTTTTTTTCTGTCGATTACTCAATTATAATGCCCATCGGCTTGTTTAGAATATTGTAATTTTTAAAATCTTCAAATTTTTGTTCAAGTTCCTTAAAATCCTCCAGTTGTTGACAATGAATCCTTGCAATGCTTCCGAGGAATTCGGTAATTTGCAAAATATGTGCGTCGGATCTTTTGGATGCTTGGAATTGTTGAGATCGGACCCATCAGATTCTTTCAATCTTAAAATTGATCTTATTTTTTAATTTCTTAAGATATTACCTATCCTTGTTTTTCCGTTTTTCAAATTCTTTTGATTCTACAAAAACTCTTGAAAGTTTTTAGCTTCTCTATAGCTTATTATGCAGATCCCTCGGATTGTTAGGATTTTTATTATCTGGATCTTTACGACGATTGAGCGATTCTTAAAAAAATGTAAGTTCCCTTATCACATTTTATAACACTTTACGAACTAAAAATGCAAATACCTAGGTTAATACGAAACGATTAAAAAGTCAATCTATACGAAATGGACGACTTATTCGCAATATAACTATAAATTGAGCTACAAAAAATATCAATCGTGGAGCATACGACACAAAAGCTACAAAACCATGAAAAGCTTAGACGCGGTGTTATTCGGCCGAAATTTTGTTATCAAGGAAAAACCCGAGAACAAGAAAACGAACGATAGGTAAGTATAAAGTACTACGCCCTACGAAATGTGGACAATTTTAGAAAATACAAAAATCACAGTTTTCACGCGATTTTGTTACTTAACGAATTCATTAAAGAAAAGATGGCAACCGAAAGTGCGAAATACAGAAGAAGTTAAGTAACCGAGGTTTCAAAATTGATAAAAAATTTAAATCGGCATAATACTACGAGTAATAGGTTTACCTGAAATATATGAAACCACGATACGAACGATAGACTTAAGTAACGAAGAAATAAAATTAGATCAAATAAAAACGAAACTACGTAAAATTAATATTAAACAAAAGCCGAGACAAAAGCATTACAAACGACTAATCTAAGATAAACGTTGTAAAACGCAAAACTGACAAATTCCGTGAAAATACCAATTTTTGAAGAAACGAACGCGCTGAAGATTAATCGGCAGTGAAGTGCTTCGCATGTAATCGTTGCGGACACATTGGGCGAAATTGCCCAAAATATGGAGACGAAACAAATAGATCTGCAAATCAAATAATAACTAATGAGATCAATGGATTTTAGATAGCGGATCAACTGACCATGTGCTAAGCGATAGAGATTCACAAACATAAAGAACGATGACATAACGATAATGTGTGCGGGTTGACGTTTGACGACGAAAAGGTTATGGTGAAAAGCGCAACAAACGAAATCACAGCCTAAGAAAAACATGGTGATGATGTATACTTAGTTGAGGAACGATTGACTCCAGCAGGCATAGGAACATGCGAATTGAACGAATGGCACGCAAGGTTAGGCCATCCAGGTAAAAACGAAATAAGAAAATTGAAAAATTAATACAATCTCAAGACTAATGAAATACAGAAAATCCGCAATGTATGCAATACTAAAAGAAATAATAAATTCTCACGGACAACGGAAATAAAAAAAAAACTGTTTAGATCTGATACATGGTGACGTAATCGGACCAATAACTCCATATTCAAGAAAAAGAAGGAGATAAGTCATGAAGTTTATCGATGACCACAGCCGATATGCTGAGATCTACGCCATCACGCACAAGAGTGAAGTTTTAAGTAAATTTATTGCCTACCAAAAGAAGGTCGAACGGATGCACGGCAGAAAAATTAAGCCTCAGCAGAATGGAGTGGCGGAACGCTTATGAGAACTTTTGGGTGCAAATGTTGGTTCAAAAGCACTCAGTCGAGACAAAATATACCAGTCCCAAGGCAAGGAAGGGATTTTCATTAGATATGAACCTTATTCTAAAGCTTATCGGATATGGGATCCAATACAAGAATGTATAGTAATAAGCATAGACGTGAGGTTTGACGAAACAAGATTCCCAATGAAGGAAGACAACATGGGTTTGAAAAAACCCGGGTTTTCTTTAAAAACCCCAACCCACTGGGCCCAAGTGGGTTTTTCGGGCTTTTTCGGGTAAAAGTGGGTAATAGTACTTTTTCGATCGGAATTAAACAGTTCGACAATATGAAAAAAAGGCGTCGCAATATTGTGGTTGTGTTGTGGTGGTTCACTTTTACATTTTACTATGGGTAAGAATAAGAATACAAGTTTTGAACTGTTTTGAATTGTTAACTGATACTAAACGAACTTTTGTATTTTAAAAATTAAAAGTGATTCGTGTATAAGTTGAAATATACTTTTGCCATATAAATTTATTTCAAACCAGCCCATGTCAAAAAACTTGTTAATTTCAAAATGAAAAAGCCCACTAATGAAAAAAACCCAGTGGGTCTGGGTTTTTTCAAGTGGGTCCAATCCGAATAAACTCAGTGGGTTTTTTCGGGTTAGGTCCATTCAGGCGAACCCTGAAGACAACAGTCAAACGACAATGATTAAAACCTTGTTTATTACCTTATACGTGGACGACATGGTATTTCACGGAGTGGAGAAAGAGATTAAAAGATTCAAGAAAGCATTGAAGAATAATTTTAAGCTAAAAGATTTTGGTGACGCTAAGAGAGTGTTGTCGGTGAATACAGACGAAATAAAAATAATAATGCGATACCTGAAACGAACTTTGGGACGGAGGTATACTCGTATTGCATACGAAAAGCAATAATGATAGAAATGTGCATATATACACTGATTCTGACTGAGGAATTGACCACAACGGCAGAACATTCTATAGCGGATATGTCCTGATGGTAAGCGACGGAGCAGTCACCTGGTCAAGTCGAAAGCAACGGACAGTGTCACTAAGTAGCGCAGAAGCAGAGTAGATAGCATTATGCGAGTGCACCAAGAAACTATATGGTATACAGACAACTATTTGGGGAATTGAAAATTAATTACGATGCAACAATTCCTTGGAATATTAACATAGACCATACAGGAGCTATGAAGCTAGCAGAAACGGATATCGGATATCAAAGAAGGAAAACATTGAGGTGCGCCCCTAGAGATAGAAATATCGCTGACCAATTGACGAAGAGTTTGAGTGGAGAACGCACGAAATGACTAGTAAATGAGAAAATGGGAAATGATTTCCATTTGAATGGGAAACCAATTCGGGAGGAGTGTAGAAGTAAAGATAGATTAAGATAATTAATGTGAGGAGTTTTTACAGATTTAATGATTGGTTGGATGAGGCGTATGGGGAAAATTTTCCATCTTAATCTGTAGTGAAAGACTGGGCAAAACGGTTTCGGATAGGATGGAATCTTTGGAAGATCAGAGCAGAACAGGAAGTACGGTGGATGTGATGACCGTCAAAAACATCGCCCTCGTGTTGGGCGATGGAGGTTTAAAGGCAAAAGAAATAGCTACGCAACTTTGCTGGCACAACCGTTCGACCATTTGGGGATAAAAAACATTAGTGCAAGGTGGGCCCTCAAACAACTCTCGGCACTTAGGCGCCGGCGTCAGGTTGAATGTGTTCGGTCCTTTTTAGTGCTCTGTAGAGAAAACTCTGCAGTGTCCAATGTCCAATCGATGGGAAGAACAGGAAAAGCACCGCCAATAAAGATCAGGATATGTCAGTCGACTAGAAAGGAGATGCCCACGATCTTGAGTATTATGAGGGCATTCTTCTTCGTAACCTTAACGAACGCAACACAACCGTCAACAGGACCTATTATGCAACAGTTCGGCACAAATTCAGGCAGAATATTCGAGAGGAAAGGCGAGGGAAATGGACCAGAGGTGTGCGTGCACACTGCTTCAGTTACGCAAGCCGCAATTCTTGATTGCGGTTTTCAATAAATCGATCGCTCCACATATAGTCCAAATATCGCCCCAAATTTGGAGGAAATTGAACAAGGACAAGGGGTAAAGATACAGTTACGTCCCATTTTTAGAACAAACCGAAAGAATATTTTTTAGGGGTATTGAATTGTTGAAGCGATGTAATAAATGCATTGATATTGGGGATTGAAAAATAAAATTAATTGCTAGTATCCTCCGATTCTTTTTGATAGTCAGGCCGTGGATATTTGTCGTTGCCCGGTTTTAGCGGTCGTATAAAACAGAAAATGATTTTAAATTAATTATGAAAATTAATTTATAATTAGATGAAAGAAGTCCATTGTATACTAACATTTTTAGATCTTTAGGCACCATATGCAAGTCCAAAGGATTCGATCCTATATCCCTCCTCTTTTTTGTGGTGAAATGATATGAAATCTGTAGAACACAATAGCGTGTATATTAATGGATGAAATGAATCATTCAATATACATAAAATTAGCAATTAAGGCGAGCTAAAAATAAACCATTTAAAAACTGCAGTAGGTAATGAAGAAGTGAAGCCTTTAAAAACAAATCAATTTCTTAAAAAACATGTAAAACGTGGAGGGATAGGGTGATAAAACTACATTAGGGGCGGACTATAAGAACGGGCGAAAGAATTTCTTCATTTTCTCTAACCCAATCCATCCTCTAACCAATGCTCTAACCATTTCATCACCCAAAATGGGCACGTGAGCAACAGAAATTTTGATCAATTGAAGATTCAATGTGGCATTGAAATTTCTGAAGGGGGTGGCCACCTTAAGAGGATGGTCGCCCAATACAAGGGCCCAATGCCCCTCTTCAATTCAAATTTGATGTATCCTGACTTCTTTGTTAATTTGTCTAATAAATTTTAGTTGGGCTACATAGTACGAGTATAATGAAATTTTGCTACTTTTTTAATGGCCAATCAAGTTGTAATTGGCACTGGTCTTTGTTTTAATATTCCTAAATTGATTTATATTTTTTTATCCTGTAGAGGCACCCTAACATAAACAAATACATAATTGCATACATACTTTCACCTTCTAAATAAATACACGTTCTGTTGTGGTTTCACCGATTGCGTAATGCCGACCGCAAGCGCAACATTTCTGTTTACATATATCGGGAAATAGTTATTGAAGCATTTATTTTTCAGGATAATGGCTTCGGAAAATTGTGTACATTTAAAAAGCAAAAGAAATTGTTCATTTTTTGTAATCGTCAAAGTGTAATTAATTATACACACAAAGTTTCTGGGTTGAAGTGATGTTATTGACATTCATTAAACAATAGGCCAACGCAATAACAATAGATTGTACTTGCAGATGACGGTTGTCACTTGCATTCGTGTAACTGAAAATCTATAGATGTGTAATTAAAAAAATATCCGCGCAGTGAGTAACGTGCCATATTTATTTGAAGATTGTAACTAAGTAGGTACATATCCTTTTATGGTCAATTAACTATTCCATACGTCAGTACAGTGCACTATAATCTTCATATGGGAAAATATCCCACATGCCTACCCACATCGTCAGATATGTCATACGGAAATAAAAATCGAATCATTAAAAAAGTAACAAAATTAATTACATTGTTTAAAAACATCATATATAAGTTGTAGTCACTTATGAGTCATTATCTCATCACATATACATACATTAGTGAGTCATGCTAAATCAAGAACCAAACGTTTGATTATACCATTGACCAGAAGTCTGCTATGAATTTTAAAGTTAACATTTAAAAAACAATCAACAGGTAGGTACTGTACTTACAAAAAAAAGCTATTGTTCCGGCACTGCACAGTACTTTAACACTACGTGAGTAATCTGCGACGTTCGTGACAGTACTAATCGCGATCGCAAATTTCCATCTGTGTCTAAAGAAGTTTATAATACTTGTTCGTATTAAATTACCTCTCTAGGCCACAGGTAACGGAGATTGCCGGATAACCTGTTGTACCACCTTCGCCGTGTCAACCTCTTTATCTTATTACGTAAAAATTTTAATCGCAAATGTGTCACCAATTGCATTTGTATTGTATTTCCGGCCGGGAAATGTATGCTCTATAAAATTCTGTTTCTGAAGGCTTATGGACTTGTAATAAAAGCAACCTGTGTAGGTTAGGGACTTGCGGTAAAGTCGTGGAGTAGTGATTTCTTGCATTTATGTCTCTTGGGGTACCGAATCCGCATCTGAAACTTTGGTAACAACATTTTTTGAATATAAACAATATTGAAAATCATTTTTTGGGTCCGTATTGTAACTCCATTCGTCTTCTATTCCTAGATATGGTCGTAAATTAAATTAGACCCTTACTGTCTGATATCCTTGCTTGACTCCAGAGGGCGATAAAGAATCCAATGAGCTGACCGTCTCTTTGGAAAAATAGTATATTATATTATACCAATGGACTAAAGTGTGTGTTTTAATCCTGAGGGCGCAGTTTAGTTGCCCAAAACGTAAAAACACGCACTCCAGGAATTAGGACTTATTTTAGTCAAGTGGTATTGATGCTAATTTTTGTTCTCATGTAAATCATTCAATTTCAATGTTAAAGTCTAAATTTGAGAGAACCAGGCAACTACCACAGCCTAGATATTTGATAACCCCTGATGGCATGATGCCGATTTTTACATTTAATTGATAATACTTGCGTAGTACATAAATGTCAGGTAATAAATTATCCATCTGAAAAACCACTAGCGCGAGAAATGTATTGAAAATTGCAATTACATGCATGCCTTGTAAGCACTAACGATCACGGATCAACATTTCACAGATGACTTCGTTCACCAACGTTCTAATCAGACCACCTACGATGCAAGATTTCCTTTTCGTTTTCCATTTTCTGGTTAGTTTGCACTTGTGAAGCGTAATTTTATTATGGCTAATCAAGTCTCATGTCTTATGCTCAATAAAGATTTAGTTGGCCATATCAGGTCGTTGATTATTTTGTACCCATTGATCCAAAATGTATGAGGCCCTTGTTAAGTTACTCACAAGATACACTATATTTCCGGTTTGATACATCCCTGAAGTGTTAAGGTTTGGATTTAGAGAATATAGGCAACTGGTGATGCACATGTAATTCAATGGGGCGTGCATTGCCTCAGAACTTCATTCACCATTCCATAAGCAAGGGGTGTATATGATCGGAAAAATATGCATTAGGTAGATAGATGTACAGAGCATAGTTTCCATACAATATAAACTGATATTTTGTCCATTAATATATGTTTAAAAAATCTAGAAAACATGCGTCAAAAGAGTTCATAGTTTAGGAATTAATTGAAAAAATTAGGGAGCATTTTAAGCAATACGAATGTATGGGATCGGTAGCGTGAATACTTATCTATATTTTGGCAATTTATGTGAAGCTCAAAAGTTTTCATAAAAAAAGTGGTGAATGAAGTTCTGAAAAATGGGCATGTAAACTGGAGAAATGGAAATAAACTACGCAGCTGTGACTAATATCGCGGTCAACAGTGTAGCTTCTTTCTCACAGAGGGTGCCACCAAGAGTTTCATGAAGTCGGTAAAAAATACGATAAAGATATGAAATAGGTACCTAAGCGCTTTTATCTTGCGATGGAGTTGTTCTTACTTTTTAACTAGGCTAGTACCGTTGAGCTAGTACTGTGTAATGGGGATAACAAAAGACAAAAATTTACGAGCAAAAAAAAAACTAGCAGGCTATGTAAGTTGCCTATGTTAAATCATTTAGCGATTCTCTTTCAAGGTTAAACAGAGCCTGCTTGTAAAAGAATTTGCTGACAGCAAGAAAAAGATCGTTCACTTGCTTCGACATTTATTTGGTTTCTCTTTCCTATTCATTGCAAAAGGTAACCTCCTCTACCTATCGTTTTATGAAATAAATAATAGAAATGGGGATAGGTAACATTCCTTTATAACAAATATCAAAATTTTACGTTATTTTTAGAACAAAGGGCTGTTGTATATTGTTGTTGATGTCTGGCAAGTTGCGACCTTGTGTGGGTGTTTATTTGTAATGCGATTTGTTTGACCGTCTTCCTTATTCTTTATCTTTGCTTATTGCACTTTGCAGATTAAAATACCGTAATTTATAATCCATACCTTGTTGCAAATTAAATTTTTTGAACTTCAATAGTACCATTGAATAAAGAGCTTTATTAATAGTACCTATTACATATTATTAGTATTAGTTTAGTCAGTTTAGTGTAATGTGTAATAATTGACCTATACAGGGTGATTCAAATTCAAAGGCCACCATGGGGATCTCGGGAACTGTAAGAGATAGGTAGTTTACATTTGACAAAGTTACCCTTGATGGTAACATCATCTAGTTTTAATAAGAAATAACGTTAATTCGTAAAAACGCAAGAAACTACTTACGTACGTTACTTAAGACAAAGGCAAAAAAGATGTTTTACAAGCATTAAAAACATTGATGTATACATTTTTGAAATCAGAAAAAAATTCTCTATCAAATCACACAAAAAGTAAAAATTACTTCCATAAGAAACAAAGTTGATTATAGTTAACCGGAGACGAAACGTCAAACTTCAAATTTAAAAGTAGCATCTTGTAGAGGGAAAAAAGTGGCCATAATAATGTGTCATTTATTATTAACTTCAGTAAAAAACAAAAACGATTTTCAAAATCTCGTTTTTTCCGGATATCTCTGAAAGTAGTCAGAATTTCAGTTTCAAAACTGTTTTTGTTAAGCATCAAAATACACAACTTTGCCAAATTTACCACCTACCTATCTCTTACATTTCCCGAGATTCCCATGGTGGCCCTCGAATTCGAATCAGCCTGTCAATTACTAATTTACAAAACACCATCTCTCGAATGTAAGACATTGGGAACAAATGTATATTTAGGTATAAACGGCTAAAAAATTAAAAAAAAATCGGTATACCGTATGTCCCCGGATTGACTTTACAAGAAGAAAAACTTTTACTATACTTTTTGACAAAAATCCATTCTCCATAAGGGTACGTTCACTACGGAGCTGTGATACGAGATTGTAGCATAGATGATAGATGAAAGCGTCGAGTATAAGCGCTGATGGGGTGTGCACAACAACGCTGAAATACCCATCAGTCGGTTGCAAAATGTCATATAAAGAAGACGATTATTTCTGTTCGGTGGCCTCAAAATGGTACATTTTACGGAGACATAAGGTTATTTCTAGAGAATATCATGTATGTACATCCAATAAATGCAAAGCGTTCTACATTAGGTGAATATCACCACCTATATGCAGAGTTGCGCCAATATCCTGACCGTTTTTTTGAATATTTACGATTGGGGCCGGAGACGTTTGATTATATTTTGAAAAGAATCACACCGAAGTTAACGAAGAGTTGGAAAAATTGCCACGCAAATCCAATATGTGCAGAAGAACAACTAGTAATAACACTGTTCAGCGCGCAGAAGAATGGTACGATCCATTCCTTAAAATACAAGCGAGTATAACAGTGCGGATACTCGATTAACTCACACCTTCACTGTGCACGGGCTCATTTGATTATACCGTATTCATTCTACAAGCGCTTATAAAGCACAGCTATGATCTCAGCTATCATCTAGTATCACAGCGCCGTAGTGCACGTACCCTAAAAGCTTTTGCTTGTTCTAATTCGAAATGTCCCTACCGTTTCAGAGAAAAATATAAAAAAAAACGAAAATATGGTTGAACTTTTCCAAGTCCTAAAAGTCAAAACGCGTCTTTACTGTAATAACATTTCGTTAGTTACAAAGTCTTCGTTACCTGTTATTTGAATAGGCACTAGGATCGTTATAACTTATATATAAGTATAACAAACACACTTCGTAATGACATTGAATTTCATTAAGTGAAGGAATCAAGAGTTTTACTGAGGGTCCTTCCAAACAAAAAGCCCCTGTCGCCACTTGTGAACCAATTTTACGACCTTAATTTTGAAAGTCCCCCATGCCAATAATTACGCGATTTTTACTTCATAAGTTACGTTACAAGCGTTTCATTATTCTCCTCAAGTTATGTGCGGTAGAGAGCTAATTATAATTTTGTTAACCTAGCAGTCTGTAAGGAGCCGTGAACGACCTTGCGTTTGTGTTTTGTATCTTCTTGTCGTGTGGTTATGCAAATCAAATTGCATTTTTTTAAAAGCACCCTCTGTGTTGTTTGGGGCCCACTTAAAGAGAGTATAATTATTTAAATATTTGTATAGAAAACTGCTGTAGTTACGCTATTCATTATTAGGTACCAGCACATTCTAACGAAAAAAACTTTGTCCTTTACTATGGGTACTTCTCTTTTCAGGCAATCCCAGCCTTAATAGGGCTCAATAATTATAATCATTGACTTTCAATAAGATCCCTCAATCTAAGCTTAAACGGAATATTACAACCGCGTAATATTTTTTTCCAAATAAACCGGGAGCCCAACATATTCCATTGGGACATTCCTTAAGAAAGTGGTGAAATTTGCATTTCTTCTATTTTCTATTTCTATTTTTCTTCTTCTATTTTTAGGTATATATTTTATAAAAAATGTTCTACAATTCTTACCCCAAGGTGGCGAATGGCCAGATGGGGGTGCGAAATAGATCGGCCAAATTTGGTATTTGAGGATTTCTGAATATGAAAATTCCGAATCTGAAATTAGTCACCTTGGATGCTGCTCCAAGGTCATGGTATTAGATTCTGGGGCGAGGGTATGGTCTTGAGCTTTGGACCAAGGTCGTGACCTTGATATTTCCCTAGTCTCAAGCTTCCGGTCTTTGACCCTTATTCGCCTGTAACGAGTTTGATGACATAAAATGGACGGTGACGTTATAACGGGCGATCAAAAATGAGTTGCTGTCGAGTTGCCTTTGGAAGTTCAAGTTAAATACGATTTCCCATGTAAACAAAAATTCCAAAGGTGACTCGACAGCAACTGATTTTTGATCGCATAGTATTGTGCAGGAGAAGGGTGTG